TCCAGGGCTGCCTCCGTCTTTGGATGGCGCCGGGAAGCTGTGAAGTGCCTGGAGAACTGCCTCTTTAGTTAGCCCCGGGAGGTGATAGACTCAAGCTTGAGGCGCTTGTACCATGTCATGGAACCCTTTCTCAGGGTAGTGGGCAAAAGCCTGCACTTGATGGCTCCCCGTACATTCTGATATTCGAGCATCGCGTCGATGCTATCTATGTGGTCGTCTGGGTCAGTCCTTCCATCTTATGTTGCCAAGGGTGGAGGTGTCTCTATCCCGATGGGCAATGGGGTCTCCTTGATGGCCCTACACAGCGGCGAGCACTGGTCATCCTCGTCGCTCCTAACAGGTGACCATGAGGGGAGACTGATCCTCAATTGTTTCTGTTATGTCGAGAAGGAGCCCTCGGCCAGGCTCTTGGCTTGTCGACGCCTGCTTCAGCTTTGTTCCTCTTCTGAGCGGGGGAGCGTCGCTCCTTCTAGGGAGGTGATCGGTCGCACTTTTGGGAGGCCATTGGCTCCACTCCAAGCGATGGCGCCGCCCAAACAGTTGGGGAGAAGGTCTCCGAGAGTCGTCGTGCTGCGTCCTCCACGAGGGAGGGGAGGGGCTGTTGGAAACCGGGCGACGAAGTCTCTGTGGGGAGAGTGTGATGGTCGCTCCTTCTCGAGCATCCATTTCCGCTTGTTCTGTTGGAAGATCATCAGGTTGGTTTGGTTGATCACCATGAACAGAGCAACCATGGTAGGATTGACGTCGGGTGGCACCGGGATGGGCTGGTAGACAGCCGGGCTATCGAAGCGTCGAATGGTGTTGAAGGCCGCGTCTTCTAAGGAGGGAGAGGCGGTGTCTCCATCCCTTTAGTCTTCCTTATCAACGTGAACAGTCACGTTAGGGTCGTGGCCGTCATCATTGATGAATGGGATGAAGGCGATTTCTGGAGCGTCATTGTTGCGTGGGCTGGCCATGATCAAATGGAAGTTGAAAGTTGCTTTGGTTCTTGAGCTTCTATGCTTGGATAAGAGAAATGACAGGGGAGCAAAGAGTTCCCACAGACGGCGTCACTGTGATCAGAAAGGAATCAGCAGCCTATCACGCGTTGTGAGCTCTTGCGTTCACCGGTGTTGTTGAGGAGGAGGGGGTGCCTGCAAGGTACTCAGATGCTTAAGTGAATAACGGAGTCAGAAAGCGCAAGTACAGAGAGAATAGGTGTAAAGAATGAAATACCTGACCCTCTAGTGAAAGAGGGTATTTATAATATGCCCTCAGTGCAGGGCCAACGGTTACCTTGCATTGGGCCAGATTGCCAAGCCCAACAAAAGTAACTGTCGAGGCTTACGTGGCGTAGGGAAGACCAGCATGTGGTTTTCACCTTGGATCAACTACTTCGTGATCTTCGAAAGGTGGGATGACCATCTCTTTCGGAAGTGGGTAGTTTCCTGATGACGTGTCCCTACGTGGGGGACTTGTGGAGAACGTGGGAAAAGCATGTGGGCCCTCCTTGTGTTAGGTAGTGGTATGCCCGGCTGAAGGAGCCTTGTTGATTTACGTGTCCGATATGGGAGGATTGGGCCTTGTTGGGACTCCCCAACGTAGTATTGGGTTGGGCATGTCCGACTGAGGGGCAGGTCTTGCCCCAGTCCAGAATAATCACATTAACAAAGTATATCAAATAATGTGCTTTAAGTAAAAGAAGCAATTAAATAGAAATATAACTAAGATAATTCAAGCAACATCAAATTAAACATATGTTCCAACAGGTTCGAAACAAGTTCATTTGACAAAACCAAACATAAAAGTGTTTAGCTACTCATACTGATAAAATTACAATATCAATTTACAAGAATAAGATTGCATAAGAATTCCTTGAAGATCTCGCCTCCAATGGCTTCGTATACGCTCTACAACTCACATTCGGTGTTGTAAATCGAACTCTCCAGTCTCCAATCGCAAAACCCCTAAAAAATACAAAGTCTTCCTTTTTTATATCCATCAAATTGTACCAAGACGCGTCAGAAATTTCCCAGAAGAAGAGCCCATCGCCCCAATAGACTTCACCGCGCGTGCGATGCTGCGTTGGTTGCTCTTCCATGCACACGATACCACTTTTCTTCTTTTCTATCATGCGCGTGAGATGCAACACATAATTATTCCAATGGCTTGCTCGCTTTTGCTCATTTTTCATCCAAATTTCTCTAAGTCCCCAATTCTTCATACTTGGACATTTTTTCTCCGTTCCTTTGGCCATTATTAATCAAATTTGATCATCTTCGACTTGTTTTTCTTTGTTTCTTCGAAAAAAATATGCAATGACAAGGTTTCATCAACCATTTCTTTCCACACAAGAAGTATATCATGGTAAAGGATGATCTTTCTTTGTTCTTTTTCACATTATTTTTTTTGTTTCATGAACCTTATGAAATTCTGGACGATCAATGGCATCTCCTCATCCCTAGAGTCAGTCTTTTTCTTCAGTATTGATCATCAAATTCTTCTTCTTGTTGTCACCTTCTACATCGTCTGCAAGTTTCTTTAGGTTCCATCTCATGCTCCTGCAATTTATTGAAGAGAGTATCTAAGTATATGGGGTGGCAAATACCTATATTTAGGAATTATAGTGGCTTTAGGTTGTCAACTGTGATTTAGGCATCTAAGGACTTTACAACCAAGTCTTTATTTTGAAGTATGTACTTGCAAAAAAAGGTACAAATGCATAGCAACCCTAAGAAGCTCTATTTTAAGGGTGTTTTCTATATGGGTATTAGATTGTGTTCCTCAACCTTAGGGGTCGAGGTACTTATAGTGGCTAGGGGAAAATCACTCAATTAGAGGCGAGTTACTAAGTCTTTTCTAGGTGTTTTATGTGTGGCTTGCACGTCAGTTCAAGGATATCAAGCATCAATCAATCAATTTTAGAGAATTCAAAACGTCAGTTAGTTATGGAAACTTAATCGCTTAATGGGAAATAAACGGGTGGGGCATTTAATGTTGATCATGATGGTTTCCTTGGGGAAACCCAATCTAGTTTTTTTTCTTATATGTGTCTTTGACGTGTGGAACCTTTTCCACTTCTTGTAATTATTGCACTACAAGGAAAGTATGTTGCTTGTGCTCTGGATTTTTCCTTATAAAGGACCTTGGTTTATTTTTTCAAAAAGACATTTTCCTCTCCTTATTATTTTAGGATTTCCACTGTTCAATCAAAGGAGTTTCCTACGTGCGATAGCACTTTGTTGACCTTTAAGCTCAAATAGGAGAGGAGAAAATCACAAGGTGCATTAAGCTTTTAGAAATCCTAGTGTTGTGGCTTTGTAACCTCCTCCCTTTTCATCGGGAATCGATGACCATGAAAAATGTCAAATATATCTATGTTCGAGATATTGTATCATTATATCCTGGTTAGGAGAGGTTCACGCGCTTTTATCAGAATATTAAATTCTCAATTACATAATACAAAGAGGATGTAATCTTGGAACCCTCTTCAGAAAGTGAAAGAGCTAACATGGCTAATTTAGATGGTTTATTCGCCCCTTATCTTTTACTTGCACCTCACCGTCATTCATGAATTGAGGGTGACGACGACTAATGTTGCCCCTCCCAAATCATGTCCAACGTCCAGGGCATCATTAGGGCATTTGATTTATCCGTCACCACCTGGGCATTCTCCCTGCCGTTAGGGTATTGCTTTGTAGTCTTTAATTTGTTGGAAAACTGTTTAGAATCTCACTTGCCGTAACGAGAGAGCGCTTGGTCGTAAGGAGAAATTTTGTTTTATATTATTTACTTAATTATTACAAGTTGTGCTATTGAGTTAATATAGGCACATGTTACATAGAAAAAGAAAATCTCTAACAAAGCAATGCCAATTTTGTAACAAATAGCAACAAACTAAATTAGACTAATAAAAATAAAATAACATGTTGTAAAAAAAAATTAAATTTATAATATACTTTTATCATATAATTGGTTTGACATCATTGTGTCACCACATGTAATCCAAAAGGTGAGAATGCTGTGGTGGAAACTCCCTTTTTATTGCACATACTTGATTACCTTAAAACTTCTGCATCAAACTTCATAGTAATTATCACACAGTATATTTGTGGATCAATAGTGAAGAAAAATATGTGGTTATTCATCATCTGGTAGCGTGGATTTGAATCAACAAGCAACATGAATCATTATATGTGATTATTATACTTTGTGGTTTATCAAGTAAACACATGAAACGAAAACAAAGCACAATGTTGGAATATAGCCATGATTACCTTTCAATGCATTATATAATTATGCCAATTGACAAAAAAAGTTTGTTAATGGTGATGCTTTTAAAGTCTGGTATCGATGATGTCAAGACACATGCTGAGTCGGTTCAAATTTTTGAAAGTTATGTTTAAAATAATCATAGTTTAATCATGATATAACAAATAAATATGTTATTTAATCACGATTTAAATGTGATAAATATTTTATGAAAGATGCAGTTATCGAGAGTTTTCTCCACCTTGCTCTTACAATTTTGCAGGACAGGTTTAGGTTTTAAACCTATTTTCTCAATTATATCTGCTCCGCTGCATCTTATTTTGTTACATGTTTTTGTAGAACAGACTTAAACCGAACAATTGCGACTTTTAGTTAATATACATAAATCTTTTTTAAAAAAAAAGTTAATGAGTCTTACACAAACAACTATTACAAAATTTATTTTGCCACTTTTTAGATTCAAAATACTTTTTTTCATATTGATATAAGCTCTATTTAGTAAATTTAAGATATGAGCTATCTGTGAGACCTAAAATGCTAGCTGATACAAATTGAAATGAACAAAATTAACAAGAAAAAATATATAGTGAAACTTTCAAGTCATGAAAACTCAAAACAAACAGAACCAGAGAACAAAATTGACTAAATATAAATTCTTTGTTTATATTTATAACTTCAAAAGCAAGCAAACTGAACTTTACTTCACAAAATATTAGTACAATACAAGTTTTATCTCTATACTTCAAAATTCATTGTATTTCCTCTTGTTGTCCTTCCGAAGAGCATTGAATCGTCTCCAATATGTTAACAACGTCATCCATATCGGGACGACTCGAAGGTACTTGCGACGCACAAACCAATCCCAATTTAATCATAGGAATTGCCTCCTCGGGCGAAAAATAGCCTACAAGTTTTTCATCGATACATTGCTCAACTTTTCCATCCTCCAATGAACTTCTCACCATATCACATAAAACAACGACATCGTCCTCCATATATTCCACGGGTCTTTTTCCGCTCACGATTTCTAGAACCAAAATTCCAAAACCATATACGTCGCATTTTTCAGTTATGTTAACCGTGCAACACGCAAACTCGGGAGCCGTGTATCCAAGCGCACTTTGAATTTTGCTGCTCAAAACACAATGGTCTAGATTTGGTAATAGATTGACCAAACCGAAATCTCCGATTTTTGGTTCATCGTTAGTATCGATAAAAACATTAGTAGATTTTAGGTTATAATGGATTATGTTCATTTGATGTAAATAGGCCAAACCTTTTGCTATTCCTAAAATAACCTTGAACCTTGCTCTCCAAGAAAACACAAATTTGCTTTGATCATCATCATGTAGAAGCTTATGCAAACTCCCTCTAGAAAAATACTCATAAATTAAAAGCTGAAAAGATGAATTCCAATAATAACCTTCTAGTGCCACAAGATTTTGATGCTTAATCTTACCAAGCTTTTGAACTTCTCTCTCAAAATCTTCTTGTGATTTTGTCAAACTTGAACCTATAAACTTCTTGATCGCAACGAAATTCTGATCTCGAAGGACAACACAATATACAACTCCAAATCCTCCCCGGCCGATTTCATTACCTTCTTTAAGAAGATTATTCACCTCGTCAGAAAACTCAACAATTTCGCCATTAAGCATCACAAACTTTCTGCATTTTGGACCTTTTTCAGGCGAAAAACTATTATCCTCACCACCAGATAATCCAAATGGAGAACCAGAATGCGAAACCGAAGACCTAACATGAATATTCAAAATAGTAACAGCAACAACACCAACAACAATAGAAACCGCCGCACCAATAGCTATAAAAACCGATATACTAAGCATTATCTTATGATGATGGTTTTGCACTGAAGTTCTTGAATTGTTGTAGTTTGAATTAGGGTTCAAAACAATAGGTTTCGGATGATAAGACCGATCGCATGAGTGGTTAACAACAGAACCACACAACAATGGATTTCCATGAACAAATGAGGGAGTGATTGTGTTGAAGAATCCACCAATTGGTAGTTCACCTTGAAGATGGTTATATGAAACATTGAATGAGGAAAGATGTGTAAGATTTGTGAGCTTTTTCGGTAAAGTTCCAGAGAGTTTGTTCCATGACAAATCTGCATATTGAAGATTTGTTAGGTTTGCAATTGATGTAGGGATTGAGCCAATAAGATTGTTGTGTGCAAGATTCCTGTTCCATTGAAATTCACAAGAAAAATAGTAAAAGTTAGCAACAATGATAGATTCTTAAACTCAAGAAGGTGTTTGAATTGGCTTATTTAAGCTTATCTTCTAATATAAGCACATGTGAGCTATGAAGCACGGATAGACTCGGACATCAGAGAAAACACCGACACTGACACATAAACACAACTTTTTCTAGAGGTGTTGGTGCTACAGAGACATTCTGAAAGGTTATGAAAGTAGCTTATAGCTTTTATGAAAAACATTTATATGATAAGCACTAAATTAAACTATTTATCTAAACAAGGCCTAAGCTACAATAGCATGAAAGATGTAAAGTTTGATAAAGAACTTACAAAGATTTTAGGGCTGAACATTTTGCAATTTGAACTGGAATTCTTCCACCTAACAAATTCCTTTGAAGCTTCAATTCAAGAAGTGAAATTGCTCCTTCTATTTCTAAAGGAATGCTTCCATTAAGCTTGTTATCACTTAAGTCAAGAACATACAAAGATTTAAGCTCTTTTATACTCACTGGAATAGAACCAAAGATATTGTTTGTAGAAAGATTCAAAACCTGCAAACTTCTAAGACCTCCGAATCCAGATGGAATCGAACCCGAAAATCGATTAGACGAAAGATCCAATGTCTCAAGATTGTTTAATTCGCCAATCCAATGTGGAATGCTTCCATTGAGAAAATTCACTTGCAAATTCAACAATGTGCATGAAGTAAGCCTTTGTATCGATTCTGGAATTTCATCGGTTAGAAGATTATCACCGAAATCGATCACCTTCAAAAGCAGACAGTTTCCTATACTCTCCGGAATCCTACCGGTGAAAAAATTCCTCCCTAGCCTTAACTCTCTCAAATCATATAGATTTTGAACTCCTTCGGGAATTTCGCCTTTAAGTAAATTATTCGATAGATCAAGCGATTGAAGTTCCTTCAAAAACCACATTCCCGAATGCAATTCACCATTCAAATGATTAGACGAGAAGTTCAAACTTGCTAACGAGTAGCACGAACTCAAAGACTCGGGAATCTTACCTGTCAGATTGTTTTTCGCGAACGATAAAACTCTTAACGACCAGCATTGTCGAAAAAGCTCGTCCGGAATTGTTCCCGAGAGACTATTTTCACTCAAATCAACAATTTTTAAATTCCAAAGTGTAACAAGAAGATCATGGTTTATTTTTCCAGTGAAGTTGTTCCTAGAAAGTGAAAGAATTTGAAGAAACTGCAACTTCATAAGACTCTTACCGATATGGCCCGAAAGAGAGAATCCATCAAGAACAAGAGAAGAAACTCTATTAGTTGAAGGGTCACATTTTACACCTTCCCAATTGCAAGGACTATAATCATCTTCATTCCAAGAAGAAAGTTTGTTTTTTGGATCTTCTAGACTTGATTTAAACACAATCAACCCTAGCATATCTTCATTGAAAGGTTGGTATAGTGAGATCACTTGGAATGGACCAAAAAGAACAAGAAACAGAGAAAAGATGATGAATTGATCTTGCATTGTTAGGTTGATATGTATAATGTAGGGAATTATTTAGAAGAGGATCTTATGAACATTGATATTTCCATTTTCTTGCACTTTGTAGAAAAGTATAGGGGGTCCCAATAAAGCATGGTCTATGAACCAAACTATTACATCAATAACAAACTTTTGGTGCATACAAACATAAAAGAAAGTTTCAAGTGCAAGAAAAAATAATGAGTGGTGGGGAGGGGACAAAAGGATGGTACTAACAAGTTTTTGAATCACCCTTATTTTAGTAGAAATCGGATATATTCAACGTGCAACTGTAGAGATTAATCACTCGAGTCGGAGAAGATCACAATAAATGCTGCTACTTGCCCAAAGTTTAATTTAAACCTAAAACCTCTGGTTGAGTCGGAAGAAATTTCTTACCATCTCTTTTCAGTATTCAGTTTGAATCAGCCTTTAGCGATTACGGTCATAGATGTGGCTGATACAAAATGGAGAATTAATAATTTATTGTATGATCAAAAATAGTAAAATAGCAAATAGAGTAGACAAGTAACAAGCATGTGAGGATAAAAAAGAGTAAATAGACAAAGTGAAACAAGTTGAGCAAACTCACTTTTAGCTTTTTTTAAAGTTCAGAATTTCAAAGGAAGAATGGAAAGTATTTGACTCACAATTGAAAAGAAAAGTTTGTGAATGTGATTTATGATGGAAGATGAAATAGAATTGTATATAAGAAAATAAGTAACATGGCATTTCTAGTACACCTCTGGTTTTTTCATTTTCTTCTTTTTATGACAAAGAGTGAAGTGAGGAATTTAAAGATGGGAGAGAGAAGCTTTTTTCATGTATGATCTGGTTGTGGCCTACATGGGGAAATGCTATAATGTGCATTTAGACAGATTTTCAGTGTGATGATGATGATAAACTCTTTATTTTCTTTTTCATGTATTTTATTATTAAGCAAAAAGAATGTCTCATTATTTTTCTAAGGAATCTTAGGAATCAAGCAATTTGGAGTTTCAAATACACAAAATAATGATTTTTTATAGCATTGATGATGTCTGAAACAACATATCATCTCTGCTATATTTTAGTAATCTTCTCTGCTATATTTTAGTAATCTTATTGCATGACATATCAGTTAGAATTTATGTAGAGAATTTTCCAACAAACCGACATATTATTCGTTCTGTTTAATCTCGTCCCACAAAAACCCAGAAATAAAACAATTAAAGCTAAAAGTTGCAAATAAATTTAATATACATGCTCGCAGAAGCCTAAAGAATACAGGATGAAGTGGTTTAAGAGCCTAAAACCTTGCGAGTCCGAGCCTGTTTTACCATACTTTTGACCATTCTATTTTAAGTAAGGCTAGTTAACCATTCGATTTTAAGTGTAAATTGTATTGGATTTCTTTGTTTGAAATTGAATGGTGTTTCTCATGTCTTCTATCTTTTCGAGGCTACTTTTCCAACTTCAACAATTAAGTATGCATAAAATAACACCATCAAATTTTACATCTTATACTCTTCTAGGAACAAAAGATAAACAAAGCTAAATCTATCCCTTAGAAATACAATATCAAAGGGATTGATCATTCTAGCAACAGAAATCTAAGCTTCTCTGAAATAAAGTTTGCCCATCACATGAAGAACAGCAACAAAAGCTATAAAACCAATGCTCATCACAAGTACTACATTTGGGGAGATCTTGAGTCCGGGAGCATCATCTGTGTAAAATTGAAGCATAGTCCCAGCTGCTCCTCCTGAGGCTCCACCACCTGCTGTTTTCCTTCTCCTCATGCTTGCGGTAGCCGCTGCACTTCCCCTTTGGGGATTTCCTCCGCCTAAAGCCATTTTCTGAAATGCAAATTCATATACTTAACATCAAAACTATGACCCAATTTAGATTGAATTCCTAAATGCCTAATTAGGAACCAGAGTAATCAATCCCGAATGGCGGGGTAGGGCAGGGCGGCTGGCTCCAAATGTGAGATAGCAGAATAGCATATATGACATTTGATAATTTTTTTTACAAATTACATATAATAATTATGAATGTATAATATACCCAGACAATTTGATGATAATTTTTGGGCCTGTTTACTGGTCCAGTAAAAAAAATACCAAGACAGGAATGTTAAATTAAAAAAAAAATGCAATTTCGGCAATTTCCGCTATACCACCAGCCATGGCACTGCCGTAGCCGCAATTTGACAACACTGATGTATATTGAATGTAAAATTAAAAAAATCGCTCAAATCCCATAAATTATTCATAAATCAACCAGTTTTGATCGAAACTCTTAATTAAGATCAACAAATCTTAAACAAAACATTACATCCCAAAATTCAAACTTAATAATAAATATTAAGGGATCATTTCAATTTTTCAGAGGGAAAAAGGACGGCAGTTCAGAAACCGCTATGGGCTGCTCTGCTTCGCTATCCCTCATATAGCGGCTATTCCCATAGGATCCGGCCACCGCTTAGCTATAGTGCAGCTATTGGCCGCGAATAACTACTTTAATATACTTACATATGACATGCAAACTCTGTTTTCAACTTGTTAGGAAAATCTATATTTTAAAGATATCTCATACATGTAATAAATACAAGTTTTTCAAAACACAATCTGTTCTGCAATTACTATTAAAGATGAACTCAACTACAATTGACACCAATAGTAAGAAATCCAAACACAATTTGAGGACTTGAATAAAATTTCTTCAAATAATTCCTATCCACATGTAACCCACATACAATAGTAAGAAATACAAACACAATTTTGAGAATTGTATTCAAACCGCCATTAACCCACATACAATAACTTGTCAAAATTGAATAGATACACACTTTTAGCTTGCAACAATTTGAAAACAGGAAAATAATATCTACCTCGAATTCAAATCAAGCAACAATTCAAAACATGTTTTAGCATTTAAAACCCTAGTTCATAACTATCAGAAACTTTGATCCAATTCTGAAACACATTAAATTTGACTAACTCATTGAAAGTTAGAAAACTACAAGCAAAATTCAAAATCTCAAAACCCTAGTCCTAAGTCTATAATCTAGAATCTTAATTGCATGAAACTCGAAATACACAAACAAATCAATATTACTTATCCCATTGAAGAATTGAACAACAAAATTTGAGAAACGAACCTGAATGGGGAATTCCGGTTACTGAGAGTCGTCGGCGCCGGTGATCTGAGACGGTGATCTCGTCGTGTTTGGTGAATGAAGATTTAAACGACTGTGGTTAGAGTTTACTTAGTCGTAACAGATATATAAAAGGAAATAAAATTTGACTTGGATTTGTGATGTATGTCCACGCGAATGTGACCAATAGTAATTTGCCACGTAATCATATTTTGCGTGTTATTAATCAGCATTGGCGGTTAGGAAAGTGGGGATTTTTATTAACGGGCTTAAATTAGTTGGGCTTTCTCAAAAATATTATTATAGCCCATCATCACTTTCAATTTAGACTTATTGTTATGGCCTATCATCACTTTCAATTTAGATTTTTCTGAAATTGCTTTTTTCAATCTAAGTGGTGGAAAAACACTATGAAAATCTAAAAATATCTCTAAAAATTCAGAAGTACATTTCTGAACGCACTCATATCTCACCAAACACACGTCTTAAGTGAGACACACCTATTTTTTAAAATTTTGGCCCGAAAATATATCTTTGGACACACTCCATCAAGAATTGTGCTTATTTAACAACTCTGACAAATTCGGATGTGCACTTTCAAATTTATGAAACAAGAATTATGTGTATTGGATGAATTTCTAAATCACTGCATTTTGTTCAAGTTTATTTGAAATTGGAATTCAATATGTCACTGACATCATCGAAGTGAACATCTCATTCAACAAAGGAAACTGAAATTTGGTCGAATCATTTTATGGATAGGATGTAAGAATTCACCAAGTTGAGTGAGATTGAAAGAGAAACACATAAACAAAAGACAAAGGCAGAACCACCCATAGATATAGATTTAGGCGATGACACGTGTTTAGATTCATTTTAATTTTTGTCCAACAATGTATTTAGGTGTGTTATGAATCTTCTTGTGAATTACGACAAAATTCAATATCAATTTATGAGGCAAAGAACAATAGCAACCAAAATAAATGGTCTTTAGCAATAATAATTCGTACACAGATAATATAACAGAATAAGGGAAGAAAAAATCGAAGGTTTGTTTACCCAGTTCGATCAAATGATCTAGTATGGGGGAGAGAGCAACTCTCTAATTCACTATACTCATAAAGTTATTACAAGAGATTACAGATGAGTTACAAGAGAATAGTGTTCGCCTTCAGGTTCCAAAGAACAACTCTGAAGGCGCCCAAAAACAACCATATTTTCTGCCCAAGTGTTTCCTTACCTCTCCAACTCTCAATATATGAATCACTCAAACCCAAGGCGTAATCCAAGGTTTTCTTTGTGCATAGTTGAAACCTTATGCTATACATTTAAACCAGTGGTCTCCCCTATTGATGAAAGCTCTAAGATTGTCATACACCAAACATATAAGAGATACATATTTATAATAGAAAATACCCAACAAACAAAACCCAAAATCACATGGATCCATGGTCCGAATAAAAAAAGTCTGAAAACTCAAAAATACTATTCACTGTACGGATGTTACTATTCATCCGTACAGATATCACTGTTCACTGTACAGATGAAACTATTCACCGGCCGATTTTTTCCCTCGACTTTTCGTCCAACTTTCTAAAACTTTCGATTTTCGCGGTAAATGCAATCTCCAAAATATGTTTTCTTTCTCTTCATCAACAAAGGTTTTAAGGCGCATTTACAACAATCTCCACCTTGACTTTAAACCGTTTTGATATCAATTTAACAATCAACAACATTGCTGCTCTCTACCAAGTTAAAACTTTAATCAATAACTTTGATAAAATTCAAGCAACCCTTGAATCTTGATCTTGCAATTTGCATCCACTTGTTCCCAATTACCTTTTTCTTCCTAGGTAATTTA